AGCTTTAAATTAACAGCTTACTCATACAAAGTCTATGAGTAAGCTTTCAATTTAAAGCTTTTGGTTTATATTACTAAGTTTTCAATGCTAAACGATTGTCCCTTAATTGATAAATCGGCTTTCATTTACTTAATAAATTTAGTATGGCCTAATTTGTAATTATTTATGTTCAATTTTTGTAACAAAATGTATTTTAATTAAATAAATATTGTTAGAAATAATATATTTTATCATGTATTATTTATATAATAAATCGTCATATTCATATTCATAATAAAATTAAAATTAAAATCTATAATGAAAACTAACAAAACCTTATAATTTTAAAAAAAAGTAAACAAAACAAGTTGTATTAATTAGAAAACTTTATGTAAATTCCTAATAAAACTTTAATTATAATTATCAAATTATATTGTATATTATAAACATAGTTCATACTGTACTTAAACTGCATAAACTATCCAGATTCAAATTGAGTGCAAGCTTACTTTATAAATAACTGTCTACATTTATTACCGGTATTAAACAAATAAAAAATTTAACAACAAAATACTCGTTATACTTTATAAAACATATTTTATTTTTAAAAATTTAATATAATGCTAAATAATTGCCCAAAAATAATTTAATCGGCAAAGATACCCGTGCCGAAAGTGTCATCATACATGTCGGCCTTTGACCTCAAACTAAATATCTCCCTGATCAGTCGCGAGGGTATGGTCTCGGGATCCGTGTCCACACCTATTTTCATTTTGGTTTCAATCGTGTCCGACAAATATTTCAAAGTTTTCAATAGTCTCTGGTATTTGGGTTGAGACCAACATTCCTCGCGATATCTCAATAGTAGGTAGCGTTGAAGTAAATACATGTATACGTGTTGTTGAAATCTATTGGGGGTTGGGGAGGGGTAGGTAGGTATCCGTAGATTGTGAATTAATAACATAGGTAGGTAATTTATTATTACGACAAATACTTACTTCACTAAATGCTTGTCTATAAGGTTAGGCGACTTTGGGTTAAACAATATGATTGCAGTTAACTGTAAATAAGTATCAAGGAAGTGTTAATTTTCAATAATTATCATTATTGCTAAAATTTGATGAAATGTTATTTATTTTATACCAGGTCTAAGACTATTGGATCGCAATCCCATTCCCGGCATATGTTATAATAAAATATTTGATACATGTTATACACATTATGTGGTGTATCCTTGTACATATCGAGACTTATAATAACGGTGCTCTCGTTGTCCTAATAAATAAATAAAAATTAATTAATTAATTAGAGAGAGAGAGAGAAAGAAAGAAAGAAAGAGAGAGAGAGAGAGAGAGAGAGAGAGAGAGAGTTAATATAAATACCGTAACAAATGTCCAGTGATTATGGATGTAGTCAAACATCGGGACACACCTCATGTAAAACATGCCTAAACAGCCGTACTTTATGAGTGATATCTTATCATTTTCACACAATTGGGTAAAGGCCGACAGGTTCTTGGACATTTTAATCAGGCTAGTGATACTGGCAATCACCTGATTAGTCATAATTGTCACCTGATTAGCTAGATTATTTTTCACATCCAGGCCCGACACGGGAACTATTGTTTTCGTGTATATATTGACGGCGTTTAGGAGTTCCCGTAGTTTACTGCCCTCTAACTCATTGAATTGGTTTCTATAGTCCATGAGCGGCCGATGGATAGGTACGACTGGATCTAACTGTCCCTCAGGTATATGGATGTCAAACGTGAGGTCCGAGAAGTCTATGATCTCTGAGTGTGCGATGACTTTGTGGTAACCATTGCTGTCATGAGTGGTGTGTTTGGTATGGGATGTCAGGTCCGAGTCATATATATCACTCAATTTAGGGACAGTCGTGTTTGTGTCCGTATGATAGCCCACACTCTCATCGCTACTACCGGTGCCACAGTTTTCATCGCTATTTTGACGCCTTTTACGCGAAACACCGATCAGTTTCTCATACCTCTTATGCCTTTCCTCCTCATTAAGTATGTATTCCTATGGGGAGTGAAACACAACACATATTTTGAACAAAAAAAATAATTTTCATTTACCTTGATCACTAATTGATACAAACCTTTTTCATACCCACTGCATAACACTTGTCTAATCGGCATTTAATACAAAATTTCCGACACTTGACATCAATTTTGCAGTCATTATTGAAATGACATTTAAATACCTGTGTGTAATAAGTATAACAATTTAATTAGCTAGCTAATAAAAATTATTTTAATAAATACCTTATTTTTAGACGCATTTCGTCTAAAAAAGGCTTTACATGAGGCACAGGTCAAGGCGTCAAAATTAACACCTAGGTCAGTATCAGGTGTAAATAAAAATATATACATTAATGTATTAAATATTAATTTTCTGGTAATTTTAATACCCATAGCGTTATCGCCGCAAACCACACATAATTTGGTGAACCGGTTGTTACTAATAGTATCGGACATAATTAATGGGTATTTATTAAACTAATTAATTAATACTTAATTATAAGCACTAAATACACCCAGGTCAAAAATTAAATGTATAAAATATTTGTTGATTTTACGTAAAAATAGGTAAAAAAATTATCGACAAACATATAGTTTCCAAGACTACACACATTCAGCAAATAATTACAGTTTGTATGCAATGCTAATATAAAATGCAGTACTTTTTGATGGGAAAGTGAAGGACTTTTATCACTCAACCCAATATTACTTGCAGTTTCTGGTATACTGTGCATACAGTATAGTAATTAAATTGACCTTGGTTGCAATGCTGCGCGAGTATCATAATAAAATTCATTGGAAAAGTATAATTGTAATTGACATTATTTATTGTGTAAATATTAATGTAAGTGGTTTATATTATAATAATGTAAACAATTATTAATTTGGCGCGAAATTAAAATTGTATAATATTATTAGTGGTATCATATTACATTATTTCCCACGCATAATATATCAAGTATATTGTACCATAACACAATTATCTATATTTATCTCAATTAGTTTTGTATATATAAACAAATTTTTATAAAAGCCGGAAAAAGTCTTTGCAATTCATTATTAATTTGTGAGTTAACAGTAATTTGTAGCAAGTTTATTTAGTTTGGTCTAGCATGTGGTCAACATCAGCACCAACCACACTATTGTATCGACATTTAACACACAGTATCACATAATTTGTGATCTCATATATTGTTATGAATGAGTGAACATTAAAAGTGGGAATAAATTTCAAAAGTTTTTAAAAATTATTAAAATAATATATTAACTGTAGTAATAATCATGAATTCAATGAAGTGTTTTTTGTCTAATTTGTGTGAATTTCGGGATTTGTGTCAAAGTTTAGACAAAATGCAGTGTTTTTTGTCACAAAATGCAAGTGTTTTGTGTGAAGGGATTGAATGCGAAAATGCAGTGAATTTGTCAATGAATTAAAAAATTTGTAAAAATTTATATAATATATTATATAATAATAAATTT